TTCTGCTCGCTTCTTCATTTTGGCTTCTATCGAGTCGGTTGGTTTGCCCTGCTGAGCCCTTTCCTCCTCCCGGAGGGCATGCAACGCCTTTGTGACGTTGTCCTGCGCTTGGGCCAGTCTTGGCGATACGCGTGCCGTTGGGGTTGCTTGGTGTTTGCCGTTCTGGGAGTGCTGCTTCCTCGGCCCGTCCTTTTGGGCTGCTGTTGGGGCCTTGTCAGCGAACCAAATTGCGTCATATAGTCGTTCTGTGAAACCGTTGATTACGGCTTCAGCTTCCTCCCAAGTGCCTCCGCTGACCTTCTCTGCTGTCTCCTTTGCAAGCTCTTCCAGGGTTTTTTGTAGCCTTGCCCGGGAATCTGCTGAGAGTCGGGGGATGCGGAGCGGTTTGCGGCGTGAGATGGGCTCATTCCGCTGTGCTGTCGCCTCCGGTGGGTTATTGGTCTGCAGTGACTGGCTGTTGCGCTCTGTTGTCGTCTGCAGATCCTGTTGAGTTGTCGGGGTTGTCTCTTTGTCCTCCGGTGCTGGAAGATCTGCTGCTGATGTAGGTCCAGCCCATGGGGGGTATGGGGAGGACAGGGGTGGGTCTTTCCTGTGCTGTTCCCTCTTTGGGGACCTCGACAGAGCCGCCTGTGAGGTCCGACCCTCTCCATGGTCTTCTATGCGCTGTCCTCGGCTTCTTTTGGTGCTGGGATCGGAGGACGTTGGCACATTCTGCTGTTGGTTGATAATTTCTGCGTTTAATTTTGCGCAAGGGTTGTTTGTGCCCCGTCGTAGGTTGTTGGCCAACCCCCGCTTGGTAGCAAAGGTCCTGCCGCAGTTAGGGCAGCAGGTGGGCTGTTCCTCCTCCCTCCCGAGTGTTGCTTCCTGATCGGGAGTAGGATCCCCTGCCACGACACAATCCCCCTGGGTGTCGTCGGCCGCAGCTGCGACGACGCTGCTGCTGCCGAAGACAAACAGCGGGGTTGTGGCGGTGCTTGCTGGGATTTTCTCTGCTGAGTGTGTCTCAGGCCCTTCCGCTGCACTATCCCTCTGTGTGTCATCGGCGTCAGCAGCGGCGGCGCTGCTGCTGCCGAAGACCAACCGCGGGGGTGTGGCAGTGCTTGCTGGGATTTTCTCTGCTGAGTTGTCGCAGGTAAACAGGGGGGTTCTGGCGGTGCTTCCTGGGATTTTCTCCGCTGAGTTGTGGCTTTGCTTGCTGGGATTTTTTCTGCCGGGTCGTGCTGTAGTGGTGGTGGCTCTTGGCCGCCTTTCTGCAGTATTGCTTCCGCTGCTGCCGAGAACAAACAGGGGGGTTGAAGAGTTGCTTGCTGGGCTTTGTCCTGCCGAGTTTTGTCTTTCTGGCCCTTCTGCTGTTCTGATGGTGTCCCTTGCGCGTTCTAGCGCAGCGAACTGTCTGGTAAGATCGCTTAAAGACAGCCGCTCAGGAACAGACACCAGTGGTGGCCATCCCTGCGTTGAAGTCGCGTTGCTTGCTGGGTCTTCTGTGGGCATCGGACCCTCTGAGGAATCCATAGAGTCCCCATCAGACATCGGTAATGACCATCCCTGCGTCGGCTCCCCACTGCATGCTGTGTTTTCCGTGGGAGCCCCGCCCTGGTGTGGTTCAGTATTGGGGCCCAGCAACTGCCCCTGCTGTTGTTCCAGCTCACTTTCCGACGATTCCCTCCTGGGAATCGGACCCTGGGCCATCATCCTGGGCCCTGCATCCCGTGCACTCTGTTCTGTATTGTCCATTTGCGTGTGCATGAGGAGCGGTGAACCGTACGGTTCATCAACCTGCGGTCTGTAACGTGCGCCGACCGCTTTGTTGTCCCCTCCCACGCGGCGGTCACTGGGGTTCGGACCCTGTGATGGGACGGTGAGAGCCCCATCAGGCGTCGGTGGTGACCCTCCCGGCATCGAAGCCCCATTGCTTGCTCGGTTTTCCTTGGGAATCGAACCCTGTGGTGGATCGGTAGTGTTGCCCAGTGACTGCCTCTGCTGTTGTTCTGGTTCGCTTTCGATGGATTCCCAACTGGGAATCGGACCCTGGACCCCCCTCTCGGGTCCTGCAAATCGTGCGCTCTGTTCCGTGTTGTCCATTTGCATGCGGGCCGGTGACCCGTGCGGGTCACCGGCCCGCGGCGTGTGGGGTACGCCGGCCGCTCCTGCGGGGTGTGCGCTGGGGCTCGAACCCTGTAGTGGGTCGATGGTGACCCTGTCGGGCGTCGGCGGTGACCCTCCCTGCTTCGAGATCCCATTGCTTGCTGGGTTCACTCTGGGAATCGATACCTGGGGTGGATCGGTGGTGGGGCCCAGCGACTGCCCCTGCTGTTGTTCCGGCTCTCCTTCAATCGCTTCCGTGCTGGGTAGCGGATCCTGGTCCATCAGCCCAGATCCTGCATACCCTGCAGTCTGCTCCCTGTCGCCTATTAGCATAGGGGGCGGTGACCTGTGCGGTTCATTGATCAGTGGCGCGCGGGACACGCCGATCTCGTTGGTCGCTCCCGCTGGGTGTTCAGTGGGGATCGGATCCTGTGGCGGATCGATGATCTCCCCATCCGGCATCGGTGGTGACCCTCCGTGCGTCCAAATCCCGTTTGTTTCGTGGATTTCATTGGGAAATGGACCCTGGGGTGGGTCAGTCGTAGCGCCCAGCGGCTGCCCCTGCTGTTGTTCCGGCTGACTTTCCATTGATTCCGTGCTGTGAAACCGGCCCTGGTCCACTATTTTAGCTCCTGCATACCCTGCACTCTGCCCCCTATTGTCCGTTTGTGTGAGGGACGATGACCTGTGCGGTTCATCGATCTGCACCGTGCGGGGTACGCCAATCTCCTGATTGGCCGCTCCTGCTGGGTGTTCGCTGGGGATCGAGCCCTGCAGTGGATCGATAGAATCCCTGTCAGGCATCGGTGGTGATCCTCCCTGCGTCCAAATCCCATTGCTTGCTGGGTTTTCACTGGGAAATGAACCCTGGGGTGGATCGGTGATATGGCCCAGCGACTGTCCCTGCTGTTGTTCCGGCTCACTTTCAATTGAGTCCATGCTGTGAAACCGATCCTGGACAGTTATCCTGGTTCCTGCATACCCTGTGCTCTGCTCCCTGTTGTGCGTTTGTATGGGAAGCGATGACCTGGGTGGTTCATCGAGCTGCAGAGTGTTGGGTACACCGATCATTCTGGCTCCTCCTGCTGGGTGTGCGCTGGGGATCGAGCCCTGCAGTGGCTCGCTAGAGTCCCTGTTAGGCATCAGTGGTGATCCGCACTGCGTCGAAATCCCATTGCTTGTTGGGTGTCCATTGGGAATCGAACCTTGGGGTGGATCGGCAATATGGCCCAGCGTCTGCCCCTGCTGGTGTGCCGGCTCACTTTCAATCGATTCCATGCTGTGGAACCGACCGTCGTCCATCCTCCGAGCGCTTGCATACCCTTCGCTCCGCTCCCTGTCGTACGTTTCTATGGGGGACGATGACCTGTGCGGTTCACCGCGCTGCGGCGAGCGGGGTATGCCGATCTCCTTATTGGCCTCTCCTTCTTTCCTCTCGCTGCCTCTGCTGCTGCAATATGGCCGGGGGGATACTATGATGACCTCCTGGTCATCATCATCCCCTTCTTCGGCCGAGCTGTAGGAGGAGTCCTCCTCGCTCGTGGGCCGCCGCGGCGCCTCCCGAGCTGCAGGGTGATGCGGGGCGAAATCCGCATCATTTTCGGCGAATTTTTTTGACATTTTATAGCATTTGGTGTTTTGATAAATGTTAGAAAAAAGATAGGAAAAAAGAGGGGAGAAATAAGCTACAGTGCAGTGGTCTCTGCTGCGCGCACACGCTATCTAGCGAAACCACAGCCAAGGGAACGGGCTTGGCGGAATCAGCGGGGAAAGAAGACCCTGTTGAGCTTGACTCTAGTCCGACTTTGTGGAACGACTTGGGGGGTGTAGCATAGGTGGGAGCTTCGGCGATCGTGAAATACCACTACCCTCAGTGTCGTTTTACTTATTCCGTCAGGTTGAGACGCATGCTCGGCAAGTGTTTTTGTCTTAAGGTGCCCCTTCTTGGGGCGCTGATCAATGCGGAAGACATAGTCAGGTGGGGAGTTTGGCTGGGGCGGCACATCTGTGAAACAATAGCGCAGGTGTCCTAAGGCAAGCAAATCTCACGTTGACCAAAAGGGGAAAAGCTTGCTTGATTT